TATCAGAAATTGGTGCAGGTCGTCTTTAAGCTCTAGATCGGCAGAAATATTGAAGTATATGTGGACGACATGATAGTCACCAGTAAGCGAGCTGAGGATCATATAGACGACCTAAATGAAACATTTCAGAACTTGCGTCGAGTTCAAATGAAGCTGAATCCCTTGAAATACACGTTTGCTGTAGAATCAGGAAAATTCCTAGGATACGTGGTATCCAAGAAAGGAATTGGGGTAAATCCAGAGAAGGTTCAGGCCGCTCAGCAGATGGAGCCTCCCAAGACCGTAAAAGATGTGCAGCGTCTGATAGGTCGTGTTGCTGCGTTGCATAGGTTCATAGCCAGATCGACAAAAAGGTGCCTCCCGTTCTTTAAGGCCCTGCGAGAGCCCAAGAGTTTTTAGTAGACCGATGAATGTCAATAGGCGTTTGACGAGCTCAAACAATATCTAACGTCAGCACCCCTGTTGTCCAAGCCTGTGGAGAGGGAGAGTTTGTACTTGTATCTAGGGGTTGCAGAGGAAGCCGTGAACGCGGTTTTGCTAAGGGAAGAGAATAAACATTAGAAGCCTATCTGCTATGTGAGTAAGGTTTTACAAGGCGCAAAGTAGAACTACCCACTAGCAGAAAGGCTGCTTTTGCCCTAGTTTATACGGCTCGAAAGTTGAGAGCTTACTTCCAATCACATCAAATTATTGTCTATACCGATCTGCCATTGAGGAAGATATTGCAGAAGCCGGAACTCTTTGGTCGGCTTATTGGGTGGAGCGTCGAGCTGAGTGAGTATTACCTCAAATTTCAGCCATGCACAACCATAAAAGACTAGGCCATGGCAGACTTCCTAGTGGAGTGCCTTTCGGCGATGATGGACGAAAGGGCACCGGTATACCTAGTCTGGGTCCTATACATGGATGGAGCTACTAATATTGAAGGATCGGGTGCTGGGGCTGTGTTAGTGGGCCCAGATGGCTTCAAATCCGAGCATGCATTAAGGTTCAAGTTTCAAACAATAAATAATGTTGCAGAATATGAAGCCCTCATTTATGGTTTGAAGCTAGCGTTCGAGCTAAAAGTTCAGAGCATAAAGATTTTCAGTGATTCTCAGCTCGTTGTGGGCCAAGTGAATGATAGCTATGAAATCAGAGATCCTCAGCTTGGTCGTTATGCCTCTGTGATCAACAGATTGAAATCAGGATTTGCCTCTTTCCAGATCGACAAGATACCCAGAGCAGATAACCAACGAGCTGATGAGCTATCAAAATTAGCCTCCTCACAAGATATCAACCCTCAGAGATCAACAATTGTGGAGGTACTTGACACCTCGAGCTACACCAATTTCACAATCGAGTGTCACCTGCTAAGCACAGATCCCTCTTCATCGAGCTGGACTACCCCACTCATAGAATATCTGCAAAGTGGCGAGCTGCCTGAAGACCCATCCACAACAAAGTTGATTAAACGCAAGGCGGCACATTTCACCTCGTTAGATAATCAGCTCTACAAGCGAGCAGCCTCAATGCCCCTACTACGCTGCCTCACTCCTTATGAAGCCAAATACGCTGTAAGGGAAGTTCATGAAGGAGTATGTGGTACACACATAGGTGGTAAAACATTGGTTCGAAAACTCCTGAGACATGGGTATTACTGGCCTACTATGGTCGAGGATGCACAGAGCTAGGTCAAAAAGTGCTCGACCTGCCAGTTCAACGCCGATGACATTCACATGCCAGGTATCTGAGCTCATTCTAAAGTTTGTGCAAACTTTACGTTTGTCCATAAATTGAGCATGAGTATCTTCGTTGAAACAGGAGAAATGCTCTCATCACTCTCACCACTCTCATCACCCTGACCTTTTGCTCAATGGGGAGTCAACCTGCTCGGCCCTTTTGTCAAAGGCGAAGGAGGTTGCACTTACCTAGTTGTCGCGGTGGATTACTTCACCAAATGGATAGAAGCCAAACCATTATCCACGACAACAGAGAAGAAAATAGAGGAATTCCTGTTCAATTCAATATTATGCAGGTATTCTTGGGTGGCTTAAGCCATTTGTACATTGTATACAAATATAATTTGTAGCTCAGCTCGGTCATCTGTGTACAGGTTTGGCATACCTAAACTAATCATCGCTGACAATGGTCCACAGTTCCGAGCAGCTGCACTGAGGTCGTTTTGCAACGACTATGGCATTGAGCTCGCCTTGACATCTGTATATACCCCACAGTCAAATGGACAAGCTGAGTCTGCTAATAAAATCATCTTACGAGGCCTCAAGACGCGTGTCTTAGCCGCGCATTCTAATTGGGTTGACGAGCTCAATAAAGTGCTTTGGTCATGTCGCACTACACCCAGCTCGGCCATAGGCAAAACCCCATTCAGCCTTGCCTATGAAGCTGAGGTCGTCACCCTTGTAGAGGTCGGATTGCCATCCAATAGAGCAAGTCGGCACGACGATCCTAGCAATGAGCTACTTTTAAAAGAGAACCTCGATCTTGTGGAGGAGGTTAGGGAGATGTCTCGAATAAGAAACATGTCACATCAAGGTCGTGTTGCTAGATTTTATAATAAGAGGGTCCAAGCTCGTCAATTTCAGGTTGGCGATCTAGTTTTACGCAATGCTGGGCTTACTACCGCTTTCTCACATATGGGGAAACTTGCACCAAATTGGGAAGGTCCTTATATGGTTATTTTTATTAAGCAACCTGGGTCTTATCAGTTGGCAGATCTACAAGGTCGTCATTTACCATTCATTTGGAACATACATAACCTGAGAAAGTTTTACAGTTAACATGTATGTTATTACCTTACTCAAGTTATTATCAATCAACTGTAAATGACAATGTACAGAAAATACACTACAATCAATACAAAAACTTCAGAGGAAAGGATTCAAATTTGTATTTCATCAATGATTTTTACATTCGAAGTACATGTTGAATGAGTTCATTGATTTACACAAAAATACAAAAATAATACAAAAGAAACAACAAAAATCCTAAGCTAATCAATCTGTCAAGTCGACGGGGATGGATGCGTCAGTAGGCACCGCAGATGACCGATGTGGAGGAGAGAAAGCAGGAGCAGCGGCCGAGGCGGGCTGAGAAGATGGGGGAGTGCTGGAAGGCTCAACAAGCACATCCTGGGGGTCTACCACCCAAGCATCAAAGCTTGGCAACCCCTCAGTGTCTTCCCCCTCTTCAACAACAGAAGGGGGCCACACGGGCAACCCCTCTTCGTTGAGTTCCCATTTCAGCCTCACCCGAGTGTCAGTTGGGAGGGCGAGGCTCTTCCCTTCTTCATCAATCTCCTCGCCCTCGAAGAAGGCCAGCTCACTAATTGGGAAGTCAGCCCGAACTCGCGCACCTTTCCACGCACCTCATTGAAAATATCTGTGGTGGTGTTGGCTGAGGCAACTGCGACGACATCCTAGACCATATCTGCTCCCACCAGCCACTCAGCCCCTAATGCACGGGCAAAGCAGACGTCGCGCTGGTGGAGCCTCTTGCTCTTCTCCAAGAATGCCTCAACCCGGGCGACGTGTAGATCAGCTTTTGAGACCCTCTCTTTCAAGGCATTCAGCTTGTGCAGAGTCTTCTCTCTGTCAGACTCTGCCTTCTTGGCTTGGTCTTCTGCACGGTCGACCTCCTCCTTTGCAGCCTGAATGCCGCTCTCCTTCTTTGCTTGAGCTTTTTCAAGCTCTTCCCTCAGCTCGTTGACCTTGCGGGCCAACTCATCAGCTCGGCTTTCAACTGACGCCGTTCGGTTCTCCATCTCCAAGCTCTGCAAACGACTGACCTCGTCAACCAAACTGGCTTTCTCAAAGGCCAGTTGCTTGCAGTTCTATTAGAGTTCGCGATTCTACACCCGCGCTCCCTGCTTGCACTTGAAGAGTGCGACAGTGTAGCTGAACGCCTGCCATAGACATTCACTCGTTAGTTTGTAACATAAAATGATAAGAGTACAACAATGAGCTCGGCAAGTATACTTACATCCATTAGCTTTAGAAGAGCAGCATGACCTCCATGCTGCTGGACGTGCCCCTTAGCACGTTGCCGATCTGCAGGAGGCACGAAGCTCTGCATACCCTGCACCATAGCAGCCTGGCAGTCAGTTCTAACGTAGTTGAAGCCATCCGGATATGCAATTCTAGGCCCCGCTACAAATGACGAGGCAGGTGCTGGTTCAGCGACCTCACGTGCTGGCACCGAGCGCACGTTGGTAGGTGGCGCTGCAGCGGCTGGGGCGGGCTAAGTCCCTGAACTCGTCCTTCGCCGAATGAGGGGAATGTTATCCTCAATGTCTAAGTCCTCTTGTGCGCGCCTTCTTGAATTGGAGGGCGCAGTTTCAACTCTCTGCTCGGCACATGGTCTTGGTGCCGAGCTCGAACTTCGGTGCAATGAACTGCGCCCTGGTGCAGCATGTGGCCGCTCATCAAAATGAGTTTGACGTTGGGAACCGAACCCAGCTCCACGGTTCCTCGAGCCTTGTGCTCGTTGACGCTGCCTTTCCAAAATGCTGCTCATTTCTCCTGCACAAACAAAGGCATAAGACTCAGCTCGGCTAGAATTCATAGTGTATGATAAAAATATACCTTCTGTGAATTGGTTTGCCACGTCGACAAACCCGAACACTGCGAGCTGCTCCGAGGTAACTAAGGCTTCTAAATCTATTAAGTTCTCCCTCCTCGCATACTCTAGCAACTGATTCTTCAGGTCCGTATCTCGAGGCAAAAGTTGGGGGTAGTTTACATGCGCGTTTGGCACGCACCATTCAGAGAGCCGAGCAGCGAGGTCGTTGTTTATTCTTTCTGTTTGTGTATCACGAACAAAGATGAACTGCCTCTTCCACCTCGCCACTTTGTTCTCACGTTTTTTAAGAGCTGGCTCTTTTCCCTCCCAGAGAGGTAATACCACTTCGCGCCTCTAGAGTTGGGACACAACCGACATTGGAACAGCGACCTGAACACTATCGCCTTGGCCGGTATCTCCAACCTCGCACACAACAGCATAAAGCCTATGATGAACCTTATGCTGTTGGGCGTCAACTACGTCAGAGCCAGCTCATAATCCGCTAGAAGATCAAATATCAGCCCGGGCAGGGGAAATCGCAGGCCGTCGTCAAAGTAATCCACGTACACTGGTATCCAACCCGTCTGTGACACTGTGCAAGCCTTCTCATTCTGTGTGCCAGCTCGAAGCAGTATCGTTCTGGGGATCTAGTACGACCTCACCATCTCCTCTAGTTTCTTATACCCACTTATTGAAGGCGCGTTGTCTACCACTTCATGGTGAAGCGCCGCCCTGAACCTAAAACCAGAAGGCAATTCTTTGGGCGCCTTGCATAGGTTGCTCAATATACCCGTGATTACCCTATTTTCCCATTCTCCAACCACGGGCAGATCTGGTTCATTGCCAACCACATTCCCCGTCTTTTCCTCGCGGCTGGGTGTCTCTTCAGAGGACGAACTACTGGACGGTGAAGCGTGGTGGTCGCCACCGTCGTCCCCAGCGCTGGCACTGGCGCTGCTCTCAGGCGTTTTCCTTTCCGGCAAGTCCTGCAAGGCTAGCGGCACTATTATCGCGATAGGCTCTATAGAAATAACCCCCTCCTTTTCTTCCTCCCTGCCTTGGTTACCTCATAACTCTCTAAGTTCTCTAAAGAAGTCCATTTTACTTGAGATTGATGTGTACGTTGTAGTGTTTACGGTCTGGTGCTCTGTTCTTCAAGCTGCAAACGCTTCGCTACAGAGAATCTCAGTAAATTCAAACAAACAGTGAAATGGAAAATGGAAAGGGAAATGGTTATGCAAAGAATGAAATCGCAATTGTAGTGTTAATTGTCGTACGCGTGTCTCTGACGCGCCAATTAGCGTCCCACACGTGGTAGACGTTTAACCCCCTTTTGTATAGCGTGCGCCGACTTTAGCTGTCACGTCCCCTCAAATGCTAAGCCAGCATTTATGGCGGGGAAGGCAGAGAGATACCGGAGATCAATCATATCTCCTCAAAGATTTGATTGATTTAGAAAAATCCCCAAGATTCAGATCGTAACAGGTTGATCTGTTTCTTGTCCCGTCCATACCAGCTCGTCATTGTGACCACATTTATCAGATCGTGACAAGAGTGACAGCTCGTCAGAGATCACAAATCGTAAGATGTTCGAGATCGCTTTACTTAACCTCGTCGCACATACGAGATTCATTTTGTTGTAGCTCGGTTTCGGCACCTCAAATCGTTCTGTGGTTGAGGTCGCCTCATCTCAACTCGTCCCTATGTTCGAGTGACAACATCACCTAGTCACTTCAAGACCTTTGATAGTATTCAAGATTCAGGTCATTACACGTTCGCTCGCGCTTATGTCAATGTGGACGAGCTCGCTGAAATAACGAGTAACACTCTAAATTTGAGTGCATGGCTATTCACTAGGCGAGCTTACCTTTTGCGAGCCACTTTAGCTCGATTATATACCGAGCCCACGCTAGCGAGGTTATGATATCAGCCCGCCCGTACACTTTCAGGCTCATGAGCTCGTCTTACTCGTATACCTTGTGGGGTCACCTGAAGTACAGGTTGCACAACTACAATTTGATTGAACCTTCCCATTGAGGTATGTAATCGGTACCACCCTTCAGATCGGCCGTCAACGAGGTCAGTCACGAGCTGCAAAGGTTGTCCGTCCTAGTCACCAGCTCGAACGTTGGGCCACAAACACATTCAACCCTGTTCGTCAACCGAACACCGAGGGGGAAGTAATGTTGGAATATGCCCAACATTCAACTTGGGCTGTACATAATGGGCCTAGGCTGCCACCCATTAGCCCAAAGTGAGAGAGCACCAGTACAAGCATACCCATGTGAGCAGCGCCACGTGGGCCAATGAGATGCTTACATGTACAGATGCATGTCAGCATCTGGGGTTATAAATACCCCCCAATTACCTCCGATAAAGGTAATTAATCTCTACGCTTCTCTCTCTGCAATTACTCTTTGAGAGCATCTCTCTCTAGAATATTGAGTATTGCTAACTTGAGTGTCGGAGTGTTTTTCGTCGGAGTGTTTTTCCCGAGGAAACATCCTTGGGAATTTCAGGTGTGGAAGCAACCGAGGACGTCAACAGTGCTGGATCGCGAAGCTGCCCAAACACCCACCAAAATCATCAGCGTCCCAACAAGCAATGCCAAATGCCCGAATTCTCGGCGGATATGTTATGACCACTTACGCCTTGACTTCGGGTGCTTTGTTAATGGCAACAAAAACAGTGAGTAGTTTCAAAACGTAAGTCTAGATCCCTCTTTAATTATTAAGGTAGTTCTGATTTTATCAGTTGTTTTTAAAGATTACTCCTTTTGTCTCTAACAATAATTGTTAGATTTGTTTTTATTTTAAAATTAAAAATTTAGGAATAATTTTTATCTTATTTATTGTATTTTTAAA